AGAGAGAAGAGTTAATCTAAAAAAGCCTAGTACATTGTTGGCACTCTTATAGACAGTTATTTCCTTTCCTATCTCCTTTTTAAACTCTAGTGCGACTGCATTCCTCTTTGTTAATTCTATCAAGCCTTTACATTTTAAATCCTTTTATTATTTTTTTAACTCATTCACTGAAATTTTTTATTCTTTTATTCACCTGTTTATTCCATAAACATTCATTGCTGGAGTGCCAACTATGCAGGATTCACCAGAGAAATAAGTCAAAATTGACCTTCTGCCTTCTGCAAACTCCCAGGCATGATAAGACTGTTTTATGGGAAGGGGACACACCCAGGCTCGCGCCAGAGACCTACAAGATGAATAGGAGTTAGGCAGATGAGTAGGGGGAAAAGGGAGTAGGAAATGCCTGGGCCGGGAGGAAAGAACACGGTATCATCAAGTCCACGAAAGCAGTTCAGGGTGGCTGCCTTAAAAGAGAAGGAGAAAGTGTGAAGAAATCCAACCTTTGCACTGTTTAACATTAAATATTGTTCATGGCCCTGCATTAACTGTGAAAGGAAGAGATTTGGTCCCTATGACAAGGAAGCTGGGGGAGCCAGTAATCACGCAGAAAGAACCGTCAATCATCATTCCTCCTTAGGGCTTTCAGGAAATGATGGAGCCCTGCATTTATCCACACTGCTAAAGCTAGAGCTGCCCCTAGTGAAAAACTCCCTTCCTGCTGCCTTCCTGGTCCCAGGGGGGATGCCTGCCATCTCTGAGCTTGTCCAGCAGTTTGTAGCAGCAATCAAAGCTTTTAGGGCTGCCCACCTGTTTCTTGTGCAGGTCCAGGTTCCAGCCTCTGGGACCTTCACCCTTTCCTCTCCAGTCATACAGCAGCTGCTTGTGGGTTTCCCCACTGTCCCTACGTAAACCCCCCACAGGACAGGAATGCAGGCTTCTCAGCAAAGGTGATGGAGGCCTATAGTCCTCCAGATGACCGAGGATGGATGATGTGGTTTGGCTGTGTCCCTACCCAAGTGTTATCTTAAATTGTAGCTCCCATAATCCCCATGTGTTGTGGGAGGGACCCGGTGGGACGTAATTGAATCTCAGGGGCAGGTTTTTCCTATGCTGTTCTCATGGTAGTAAGTCTCACGAGATCTGATGGTTTTATAAAGGGCAGTTCCCCTGCACACGCTGCCATGTAAGATGTGCCTTTGCTCCTCCTTCACCTTCCACCATGATTGTGAGGCCTCCCTGGCCATGTGGAGCTGTGAGTCCATTGAATCTCTTTCCTTTATAAATTACCCAATCACAGGTATGTCTCTATTAGTAGCATGAGAATGGACTAATACAGTGGAGCAGAGTCCCAAGTAAAATCTTTAGAGACACATTGACTTCCCCAACAGGATCATATTTCCATGAAACTCCATTCTGCACAGTTACCAGAAACAAAAGCAACACTAAACCCTGCATATGCAAGAAATATGACCTTTGCTAGGCTAATTTTTAGCCACCCTTCTTTCTTGGCTTGTTCTACTTTGTTTGTCAAAAATCTTCATTAATGATTAACCAACCATGAGATTTAAATAACCTTAGTCATTCTGAGGCAGCTAAGAGATGTCACTGAAGCCCAGTTGTTTCTGAGATGACCTTGTTGGGGGTGTGCTGGGTCAAAACATTTGTGCTTCATGGTATTGTGATAACACTGGGCCATGCCAGTCTGGTTTTGCTGGGATTTTTCCTCTCCTTTTTCAGGACCTTTATTCCAAACTGGTAGCACCATGAGATAGTTTTATTTCCATCGACCTCAACAGCCTCACACCTCTAA